CAACAGTAGAATTCAATTCCTTCCTACGCATAAAAGTCATAAGCAACTTCAAGAATAAGCATCATTCAACAGAAACAATAACAACCTAACCTTTTTCCACAACATAGGGTCAACTGTCATCATACATACAAATATGAGGAGATAAATAGTGCAAACATGTAAGCACAAAAAAAAGAGCAGCTTCTAGTAGGTCTCACTACCTACTGCACATAATAATAAGCTGAGGATAAATAATAAATAAAGATAAGGTGGATGGTTTTCATCCATCTGACATTCAATTGTTGACAGACTCCTTTTATTTTGGAAGAAAACCCCCTAAGCAAAAGATAAGAATACAGAAAAAATTGATTTTAATCTAACTCACCAAAATGCAATTTATTGAACACCGGTTTTTGTTTAGGGATGTATGAACAAATTTGGCAGCAAAGCTTGTAGATGGATTATCTAAATAGGTAGCTGTAGGCAACATCTGCATGAAGGACCAACAGAAGATATATGTTAGCAGCGGACAATTCATAATCCAGGAAACAAGAGAATAAAGATAACACATGTTAACTAACATCAATTGCTGCTGCTGGAGTAGGCTGCAATGTTGTCCTGTCCCGTGAATCCCACTGCCACATACGAATCTACAGAACAATTGGTATTAGATTACAAGTAGGACAAACTCCATTACAGATCCAAAAGGAAAAAAAGATTTGAGTTTGGAATCCATAAAAGAGAACATGCATCTCAAACGAAATAAACACAGATATAATAAACTATGGGTGAGATACTCATAATCTTATCTGTATTTGTAGGATCTACTTATGAATCATGAATTGAATAGTGATGATGGGTTTATTTGGTTGATATTAGTCAAAAAAGAAATAAAATGGAGCTTAGTCTGAGCAACTAGGAAACATATAACAAGTATTTCAGGACATCAACTTAATACTGTCCCCATGAACCACAAAAAAGGCACAGCTGATCGCCATACATGAATGACGTTGACACAACCTAAGATCTTTTGCCTCTATATTAAGATGGATTCTCCAGTACCACTATGAAACAGTGAACACAACTTCATAGGTGATACCTTATGCTATCATACACATAGAGTTATGGATAAGAATAGCGCCGGAAATCTTTTTAAAGTTTAAGTTGCAAGTGTTGAGCACATTGAATAATGAACTTGAGCAAAAACTTCAGGAAGAAAAAAGCAGGCTGATTTCTAGGTAAAGAAATGAACGACCATGCTAGTAAAGTACAGTATCAACCATAAGGATGGTAGAAGCGACATTTAAGCCATCCAATAACAAACATAAGAATCCATGTCAACCGGATTGACCAATCTTACCATGCAACCACTTATATAAAGATATGTTAAAAAGCAAATGAAAACAACTAAATATGAAAAAAAAAATACCTGCATATATCGCACAACAGTGCTCGTATAATCAACAGCTCTCCTTTGGGTCAGCTTTCTCATTCTTTTGGCAGCAAAATTGTCACCATGAGCTGAAAGAAATATTTAATAAAAAAATAGAAGAATCTTCCAGAACACCTAAAATTCAGATAGCCTAATTCAAGTGAATTGCAACCCATCCTCTAAACATGCAGTAGCCATAGTTTTAGACCTAGAGGCTTACAATAAGGAAAGGCTCATGGTGCAAAATGAACCTCAAAGTGTAAATCCATGAGGCTTACAACCATGAGCAGCAAACTGCAATAAAAGCCTATGGTATAAGAACTTCAAATATCCTCACACATTGATTTGGTAGACAAATTTTCTTGGATTCTAGTGATCACTAATTTTGACTGAGAAACACACACACACACCAAAGGAGAGGTTCTACTAATGCCTAATTGATGCAGACAACAAATAGCTCAAGAAAGCTCAAGCAAATATTGTTAAAATTGGATATTATCAAACAACAAGAAAATTCAAGGTTGTGGCCTTTCTCTAATGCTTGACTTATATGGTGTCTTACCAGAGATAAACTAGACATTAACCATATAACATGGTCTTTAAAGTTTTTTAAGTATAGATGGCTACTGGTTTATTTGACTTTCATTTTCTTAAGTTCTAAGAACCAAGGTTGAATATTTGCTGGAAATTGCAAATTTTAAGTCACTGAGTCCTATTTTCTGTAATTATAAGTTATAAGTACTTAAGTTATATGTACTTATAAGTATATGTTATTAGGCTTACATTTATGGTTTAGGAAATTCTTTATGACAATTTCGACAGTTTCCCTTTGATCCTAACTGCTCTGTAGGACTATGGTTTTTATAAATTTACATGTAAAGTTGTAATCTTCTTCAATTTAAGCTCCTTTTCATTGAAGCTTTTGCTACTTGCTTTTTGCTTGACAATTTTCCAAAGCAAAAGTTAAAAGCCAGTCATAATTAATTAAAATCAACAAATAAAAAATGTCTCACCAATTATAATATAATTAGTCTATATAGAAGTAAAATCATGTATTTCTTATAAAAAAATTACATATTTTCTCTATAATCTTTCAAAAATACCATTTGCTTTTGTATCCAAATGCACATTTTTTTTATTCTGGAAACAAGAAGCAAGTAGCAAAAGCACCAATTAGACGAAGTCTAAATAACTTGTTTGCTAGAATCCCAGCAGCATTATGCTTTGCTTAGTAATCTATAAAGCAACTCTAACCTAAGTGTGAAGCCTCTCAACCTTATGTGCAATTTGCCCTTTATTCTACCAATTTCCAGAAGGGTTTCAGATATGCAATCACCTTTGAATTTCAAGAATTCAATAACTATTTTTCAATAGAATTTTTACAATGGCGAATCATTTGAACTACAAAAAAAAAAAAAACAAAATTGTAAACAAAAGAGATTGAGAATTATTATTCTACCGTCATAGGGAGGAATCTGGGAATGAGGAGCAGGATGGTGATACTCTGAGTTAAGAGTAGAGGAAGAAGCTGAGGGCTGCCGCATCATTTGCGGAGGTGGTGGCAGAGGACCTCTCTGGAACTCCCCGCCTTGCGGCGGCGGCAGATTCTGCTGCTGTTGTGGATCACCGTACATTATTGTGAAAACTGAAAACTTCAGAGCAGATCCCTAAATCGCAGGACGGTCAAGAATTTGAGTTAGTGGATTTGCAGAGCACTGGATAAAAACCCTAAACCCTAATTTTGGGTAGACCAGCAAGCGGGAAGGGAATGTTGATCTTTTAACCCATTTTATGAAAATGGATTCTGAATCCTTTACAACACTACAAAGAGGTCTACCCGGTATCGTTTTCTTTTATCGAAAATATAAATTTTTTAGTTCGTAAATCCAACTGGATAGTTTCAATTCATTTTTTTTCCAGACAATTTTCAATATTTTTATTCTATAAAAAATGAATATTTTACTATACATATTTTAAAGTATTGAATCATGCATAAGATACAATTTTGTATGTAAATATAATAATTTAAAATATGATATAATAATTTAATATAAATATAATTAAAAAATATAAAAAATAATATAATTTAAAATTTTAATAATAATTATATATAAATTTAATAAAAATATATATTTATTATTATTTTTGTTCATACGAATTTAATATATAATTTTTATATAAAATATAATATAAATATACAAATTTTAATATTATACGTAATAAAAATGCATGTCTCACACGTGTATGAAAAGAATTGAAAACTTTCAATTTTTTCTGACTTCGTTGGATCAAATGCGAAGTGCAGAAGTCCTGAATCGCTTTCTCAGGGTTTTGGGATCTGAGTTGAAACGGCAGATGATGATATAAAAGTATATTGGCAGCATTGATTCTCATGAAACTCCTCGACTTCAGCTTAGCCTCGCAGTTTTGATGAAAAGGAAGTTGAGTTGAATTGCGGATATAAAGGTGTTTGACCAGTTCTATCTGCAACCGAGTCGCGGGTTTTATAAGCCCTTGGCTTTTTCCGTTGTCTGTAAATGAGCAAGGTCGGGGGCAAGCTATGAAGCCAACACCTTCTCCATGCCACATTGTGAAACAGAGTTATGCTACAATCTTTTACAGGCAAATAGCGGAGATAGTCATGAAATTCGTATATTTATATAGTATCAAATGCATAATTCACAAAAAATATATATATATCAAATTTATATCAAAGAACCAAACACAAAATAATTTTTTTATTTATACTAAAATCACATATAATTTTTATTAAAATTATAATATTACCACTTTTATAATATCTTTTATATTATTTTCATGTCATGTCATTATATCATCATCATGTCCTGTTTAAAAATTACAACATCTAAACAGCATGTCATTAAGTACTATGATCAGGAAGTGTCATTTATGGACTCGTGTTGTTGAGTCAGTAACACACATCTTGGCTGCTCTAAGATTCAAAGATGAATTTAGAATCAAGAAAGTTTCGGATGATTATTTGCAGCTTTTCATTTTTTCAGTTTATGTATACCAAACATTAATATTTATGAATGAATGAATGTTACTAATATGCCAATTTTAGGAGCTTTTGCAGAACTTACCTACACTCCAACAAAAGCAATTGCATGAAAATCACGTAGTAATACCAATTCAAACCCTGAGTAACCAGATATATGCACCTATAATTAAGCCAAATAATGTATTGAACACAATGGAACGTTGAATTTCTTGAATATATACATTTTTCCATAATTTTTTCTTTTATTTGAGAGAAGGGAAATTCGAATCCCGCTCTTCGAATAGGAGGATACAAGTATATACCATTGAATCAAATGCGCAAGTGCTCCTATATATTGATTAAAAGGAAACAGTTTGCAAAATATAACCTTACTAACTTGATAACAAGCTCCTGCTCTTCATTTGATAAATCAATACATTCCGAAAAGGTGTATTCTTTGCGTTATAATTTTTCAAATGTAATTCGTTTTAGTTGAATAACTAACAGGAAAAAGAATCGTTGTAGATTTTCAGGTGTACAACATACATTTATCAGCTTACCTGAAGTCCGCTGCTCATAAACTTGATGTAGGAACTGTTGGCGTTCAAAGAACTTGTTGCAGTAAGCGAGCTGCAAGACGCTGAGTAATCCCACCAACTACACGGCCCCCTAGACTGTGTGCCTCGGGTTTTTGAAGGACCTGCTCAAGATTCAAGAATCCTTCATTAGCCAGTTCCATTGAATATTATAATTGTGTGAAGAAATGGTTTGGGCCAAATGCAACATCCAAAAGTTAGTTCCTCTATGGTTTTTAACTTTGGGATTTGTAAAGGATCAAATACGTAGGAAGAATGATTGCAATTTTTTTTTTGAACAAAAAAAAATCTTACAAGACACATCGATGAAATTACAAAAGTATATAAATATATCTTCAAAGGCAGTCTCTGGAGCTCCAAAAAAAACGTTCTAGGATTGAGGATTTATAGCCACTAAGGCATCAGCTTTTAAACTATGAATCAGTATATATGTTATGATGCCATGAGTCTTCAATATCACATGCTTAAGAAGTGTAATTATCATCAATACTTAAAACCAGATACAAAAAATGTATGAGCTGAGAATTAAGTCAAGATTACATCGATAAGAGAGCAACTTACACAACTTTAAATCCTATATCAACAATTAACCCTAGCCCTAAAATAAAGTATATATATCAGGCATCCAAAATATTTTGAGGAAAAGAACTGACAAAGACATTAAAACCAATAAAAATGAAAATTTAACAGTAGCACATAACATTGTTGCATCAATTACATCTTCTGTATGTGTGTGTGCCTGTCTGTCTGTCTTTGCATTTTTTTTCTACTCTAGTAACCAAATTACAGCGCAAATAAGGTTTACTTACTTGTAATATAGGCTGCAAAAGTGCTGGATCAAAATTTTCAGAGGAACGCAGAAGCCCCCATATTCTAAAGACCTGGTCCCGAAGCTCCATCATGAGTTCTAATTCACCAGCTCTCATTGCAAGCACTCCATTTCCATTGCCATTGAACATTAGACCACGCATAAAAGGGGGTACAGAGTTGTATGTATCAACAACTGTGCCTAGAACAACAGCTTCAGTAACACGGACAGCCTCTTTAATTACCAAAGTCCTAAGTTCTTCACCATCTGGCCCCAGTAGTAGCTTTAAAACAGGTTGCAAAGCATCTTTTGCAGAGAAATCTCGGTCCTTTTTTCCCTGAACAAGAAGGTTTTCTAGTCTATTCCACCTGTCACAAACAGATATTACAGGTATTTCAGGACGGCACATTTCATCAAATCAAATGCACAGAGAAAAAGAAGCTATATAAATCACTAGGTTAGTAAATACATGCCTAAACCTCCCATCCTTAAAAAGTAACTCTATAAGAGCATCTCTCAGATATGGATTTGGATCTGTGAGAAGCCTTTTAGCAAAGTAAGGGTATGAGGCAGCCAGCACCTTAAAATTAGGATCAGCATAAAGGGCTAAACCTTCTAGTACAGTAAGCGACCTCAATATCAATGCATAATAGGCAGGTACTGCAAGCAAATTAAAAACCAAACCATTAGATTCCAAAAGAAATTATCCAGTATATAGCATCCACTCACTCCTCAGTCAGTCTTTAGGGGTACGGGAAAAAGGGGAGGTTTCTTTTTTTTTTTTTTTTGCAACATTGGAATTTCAAGAAAAAAAATGATGATAGTGGTAATTTTTAAAAAAAAAAAGTTTAAAAGATTAGCAAGAAAACATTCATTGAACCAGTACTCCCATTGATTATAATACAACACTGCAGTTAGGTCCATTATATAAACATACAGTGACCAAACTTGAGGATAGAGCTCAAAAGTAACTGGAAAAAATCAGCTCACCATTAAATGGGTATTGATATAAAACAGCACCCAAACCATCAACCAGTGTTTTGAAGTTTAGTTCGCTCACAGTATAGTTAAGAGCATCATCGAAGAAGTCCCGAAGTGCTGGCACAATTGGGGAAACGTCTACATCAGTTGACAAGAAATCCAGAGCATAGTAATCACGGGCCATAGCTTCATAATCCCGATTCACCAAGTGAACAACATGACCAATTATAGCAAATCTTGCTTCCTCTGGGGTCTCACTCATCATTCCAAAATCTAGAAAAGCAAGTTTTCCTTCAGGTGTTGCCAAAAGATTACCAGGATGAGGATCCGCATGAAAATATCCATACTCTAGTAGCTGCCTGAGGCTGCACTGGATACCTGTGGTCACTAAATCCAAAACCTTCAAACCTTGCCTTTCAATGGCAGCTTGCTCATTCAGTTTCACCCCATCAACCCACTCCATTGTCAATACTTTGCCACTCGTATAATTCCAAAAGATATCTGGAACAAGGATATCCTCCTTGTCAGCATACAACATTTTGAATTTCCTCGCATTTTGTCCCTCCTGCAGGCACCTGTCAAAATTAACACTCGTACCCCAAAAAAAGGTACAGAGAATAAGAAAGCACACCCTTTTTTTTTTTCTTATTCTGTTTCACAAGTTCAGAAAAGATATACACGGGTATATCTTCCTAAGGTTTTGAAATATTTACCTATATTGAATCTTAACTAATTTGTTCATGGTGTGTGCATTCATTCTCACAATTTATGTGGCAAAGAAAATCTAAATCCACTCTCTCAAATTCATCTTCACAAACATAGCATAAAAGAAAAGCAACTTGATGGATGGTTGAGGATTTTTTTTTCTTGAAAACGAAAGCGGGAATCAATGCATACCAATGCAATAAGATTGGTCAAAAAAAGAACTGACCTGCACATAGTTCAGCTCTTGATAAACCCTAAAGGCAAATTCATCAACAAGGGCAACAACATCGCTGGTGATGATGTCAACGTATTTATTGATGAAAATCCCTAGGCCTCTTATTAGGTAAAAATCAAGTCCAATGGCTTCCTCGATACCAGGTCGTTGCACCTTGACAGCAACAGTTTGGCCTGAATACTTAAGTTGAGCTTTGTAGACTTGACCTAAACTGGCAGCAGCAGTAGGAGAAGGGGAAATGGAAGAGAAAATGGAGTCGAGCGGCATCCCCAACTCTGTTTCGATGCATGAGAATGCATCTGCGTCAGGAAATGTAGGCAGAGCATCCTAGGAATATATCGGACTAACTTAGTAAAACCAACCCAAGGAACTATATTAAGTAGCATAACTGTTAAGAAGCAATTAGTTCATACAGTTCGAATCTCAGCATCAGCAGCCCTTACTACAACTGATAATCTGTGTACTCGCGTCACATAAAATACTAATAATTCATATATTCATATTTTTATACAAAAATTACATATCTTGTCGGCATGAAAACATGAAAAACTTTTTTTTGGTTTATCAAATCCATATATGATTTTTGTTAAAATTTTAAATCGTATCACTTTGATTTTTTTTTATTATTTTTATATGGGTGTCATCGTGTTGTGTTTTAATTGTCAGATATTGCCCTTACAAAGAAAAAAAAAAACCTGCAGCTGAGCGAGCTCCTCGAGATACTCGGGTGGGCAGAGGTCGGGTCTAGTGGATAAACCCTGACCTAATTTTACAAAGGTAGGGCCTAATCTGGTGAAGATGGTCCTCAATTCAGCGGCTCGCTTTCTCTTGTTTTGATCCAACGTCCCGTTCCTTTCATCCAACAATAGTTTCAAAGCAAAAGAACCCAAGGCTATCAAGATTTCCAAAGTCCTCTTCACTACCTAATCATGGCAATTTCATTCCTCATCAGCAAAACTCGAAACCCTACTAAATTCCATTCCTTCTAACAATTTTATGATAATCAAAAAGTGTATCACCTGGACGGGTCGTGACCCATACTTGCGAGCAAGAAGTTCGGGGCTGTAAACAGAGGCATTGGCGGCACGTGCCATGGCCCTGGCCTCCGCCTGCAGGTCCTCCGCTCGGTCCCCTCCCAATACTTGCACCGCCATCTGCGAACCATTGACTCTGGGTCTGGCTTCTACCAAAGCAGCTCGCGGACCCAATTTGTACCCCTTCGGTTTCGAAATTGAAAACCCTTTACCGGCCTGCACACAAACCGAGTGACTGCCAGCTGAAACAACAAGACTCATGGCTGCCGCTGCCATTGCTACTATTCCCCTCTTCCTTTTTCTCTTCCTCAATTGATGGAAACTGTCACCCTTGGATTGACTAGTTTTAATCAAAAGAGTTGTAACTGTTTTATGTGAAATAATATGTAGATTGAGAGGGCCAGGGCGATGGCCATGGCCATGTGGATTTTATTTCAACAGCTTTCTGAATATTTTGTTTTTCGCCTATAAGCAACAAGCCACGCATCCATGGTGTAAGTGAACCAAAGACGGCCATTTGTCTCACTGTCTGACTTATTTTTGCTGTAGTGTTATATTTTTTAATTTTTCGAAATTATGAAAACCGGTGATCTAATGAAAATATCGATTGGTTGTCACCCTGAGAAAAAATAATAAATAAAAAAATTTAATCGAGCATTGGATAAATAATTTTTGAGTAAATTTTATTTATATTCGTTTATATTCAATGTTAAATTTAATAAATGATTATAAATAATATTTTAAAATTTATTAATTAAATATATAAATTATAACTATAAAAAAATTATTCATATTTGATTTATTTTATATTTATTAATGTAAATGAATAAAACATTCAATAAATAATTCGTTAATTAAAAATAAAAAAATTAGTTATATTTTTTATTTTTATGAAATTATGAAAACGCGTGATCTAATGAAAATATTGATTAATTGTCACTACAATAAAAAATAATAAATAAAAAAATTATTTTAGCATTGAATAAATAATTTTTAAGTAAATTCGATTTATATTCATTTACATTAAATGCTAAATTTAATAAATGATTATAAATAATATTTTAAAATTTATTAATTAAATAAAAAATTATAAAAATAAAAAAAAATTCATATTTGATTTAAGTTATATTTATTGGTGTAAATGAACAAAACATTCAATAAATAGTTTGTAAATAAAATTAATTTGTATTCATATATGTTTATTTATTAAGTTTAATAAATAATTTATTTATCTATTTTCAAAAGAAAAGAAGAATCTAGCCAAAAAAAAAAACATGTTTTGTGTGCAACTTTACCAATTGGCCTAGGAATTAGGGAAATGTTAGAGGCAGTCCAGCCTGCACCCGTTTTTTCAACATACGGGCTCTTAAAGAGCCACATCAACTCTCGCTTAAAGGTTGAGACGGACAACCTTTCGTCATAGGTTGCTGATTTATCAAGATTGTCTTCTCTAACTTAACTATAAATTATGAATAAATATAAGGTGAAGAATTCAAGTTGGGGTCGACTAGTAGTGGACTTTTTCCCTGCTTCTTCCAAAATATTCTATTCCAAAAAGTTTTCATTTGAAACCCACAAAGCTTTGAGGCTCAAAGTAACCTATATTTTCATTTTTTTGTTAAACAATAAGAGAACGCGAGGCTTTTTGTTCTTGGTTAGACAGGAGTTCGAAGCTTTTGATAAGTACAAATTTCTTGATTACTAGGATGCTGACTTGTGGAATTCTAAAAGATTACTTGCCTATCTCCTGTTACTTTCATGGTTTTCGCAGTAATATCTTTTGTCTTCTTGAACCTAAATCGCTATTGATGATAGGTTCTCTCACTCTTTCACTTCACACTTCCGTCATCTCTAAAAATAATGAAAAAAAAAAGACAAATTAAAAGTTGAAAAACTAAAGTTTATTTTCTACAGCTTTTTAAGTCTATTAGACAAGCGAAAATGAAGAAGGAACTTATCCCATTTTTCATGCAGATTTAGGATTTTTGGGATGAATTTAATTGCAAGGCAAGACAAATCAATGCTTTTCCCTAACTTCCCACACACCTTTTCAATTTATATTATACATTGATATTGAGTAATATTGTTACATGGAGATTTCACATTGTGCAAACCAAAAAAAATCTTAAATTGATTCGAAATTATGATATTTGGTTTTGATCAATTCTTTTTTTATTTAATTTTGATCAAGTTCAGATATTAAATATATATATTAAATTTGAATCAATTTTCAAATCAAGATATAAAAAATAAAAAAAAATCAAACTAAATCGAATTATATATTTTTATTATTTTTTATATATTTTTTAAGTTTTTATAAAATAAAATAATTATTATATATATTTATTTAATATATTAAAAATCTTATTAAAATAATATATAAAAATAAAAAATTATATTTTAAAAATCAATAAATCAAATTAAATTGGTAGAATTTGGTTTGAATCATATTAATTTTAAGAGAAAATCGATTCGAATTTGAATCATATTTTAAAAATTCATAATATTGTATTATTCAAAAAAATCAAATCGAATCTAATTCATTATCACCCCTACTGCAAACCTGTTTTGATTGGTTTCTAAGTTTAGGTGAAATTTATGCAATGAAAAGTTGAGATTGAATATGAAGGTTTTGATTGAACTAATCTACTTTTGTAATTAACTCAATTTCTTTCTTAAGAACATAAAATAAGATCAACATGCCTAAGAAAAAAGGTAGCAAACATTTTGACATAACAAGTTAAAAAATAAGCATTTCATCAAACTACTCATCTACAAACTCCTATTGCACTTATACTAACTTAAATAGAGAATAAATTATTGATCTTATCCCTTAAAGCGTATTAGTACAAGATAACCCAAAACCAAAATCAATTAAAATCATTACATTTCTTGAATTATATAATAGAAGAATTGAGGGATCATATGTTTTTTTATTGTGCTTACACCAAATAAATTTGGCAAAAGTTTATGCAGAAATGTAGAATCAATAGAAGAATTGGGAATTAAATTACTGAGTTAGATTGAGCAGAGAAAAAGATAAAAATGAAAGCTCTAATATCAACTATCTTACGCATAGCTTAGAACACATGTATATATCTGGCTTGGAGAGACCAAAAAATGTTCAAACAAGTGGAAGAAGAGTTAGCAAAACTGATAGTGATAATAAAGGAAGTAGTTAAGCATAGATTAAATGGAATAACTCATATTATAAACAATGCTGTTAACATGCAATTATGTGATGCTTGAAATTTAAATGTGGAATTCTAGACTAGGTTGTTAACATTGTTATAAAGGCAGAGAATTAGTTGAACTGTAATCTAATTCTACTAGTTTGGATAAAATAAAAATATACCTTATTCAAAAAAAATTATGTAATAGAATAAGTTATTACTGATAAGTTCAATGTTTTCTATTTAATAGTTTTAAAAAGATTTGCACAAAACAAAGATATATAAATAAGTTAAAGATGATCATGAGGCTCAACAATAAAAAGAATAAAGGAATTTTAACAAACCTAATTGGAAAAACTAAGTGATTCTGTCTATATGTCACTTGAGCTAGAAAACAAACTAGTTTCAGTGATAGTAGGTCTCTTTGATCTATTAGTTTCACCATTGAAAGATAGAAAATGGAAATGATTAATGTACAACATAATGAAAAAACATTGTGTGAAAATAATCAATAGATAAAAACATTGTATGAATTTTCAAAAAGTGAAAGTATTAGACCATAACAACATAACCCAACTATTTGAAAAGATTAGAAACTCAAGATACGGTTGTTAAAACTTCATTTTAATGTAATTTCACTCACATTGAATTTGATTGGTATAAAATAAAAAATACCATTGGATACTCATTTGAATCTAATAAAAATTTTTTCTTCTCATTGTACCTTTTTTTTCCCAATGATGTCCTTGTTTTTTTTTCTTTCGAATTTGTTATGGTTTAAATTGGACGGGACTTGATAAAATTGAATTGAATTAAGTTTGAATTTGAACAAATTGAAACAAACTTTTTTTTTTTTAATTTTAGTCAATTTTATTAGCTTTACTTATTATAAAATTAGATTAATTATTTTTAAAAAAATATTATTAGATCATTTTAATAAAAAATAAGAAAATTAAATTTAACTGCATAGTCTTTATTTTATTAGAATTCTCTCTATTGTTAGCATATTCTTTTTCATTCATACTTTTAAATTTACTAATTTTGACTTTCTATTGACAATCATTTGGCTTACCTATGTATCACATTTTTTCTTTTTTCTTTTGTTTTGTCTGCTTGTTACTTTTCAATTTTCTTTTGGGTTTTTTAGTTTCGTTTTTACTTTTTTTCCTCATCAATCAATCATTTTTATTTTGTCCTAATTTATATATTCTATTTTTCTCTTTAATCTTTAATCTTTTTGTTTTTCTCTTGTATTGTTTTTCTTTTTATTTTTCTCGATTTTATATATCTTGTTTTCTCTTAAATAGTTTCTCTTGTTATTTTTATCTTTAATTGCTTCTCTTTTTGGTTTCTTGATTTTTATATTTTCTTTGGTTTCTCTTCGTTTCTTTTGTTAATTTTCTTGTGTAATTTATTTATCTTTTTTTGATTTCTTTTTATATTTCATTTTCTTATATTCTCACCTATATGTTTTATTTATTATTTCTTCGATTAGGTTTTTCAACTTTATATTTTTATTCGATTTTTTTTCTTAAAAAAAACCTGCATTTTTCTACTTTCAAGAAAATCTCAAAGAAAATGAGGGTTTAAAATAAATATATGTAAGAGTTTCAAGATCATAGTTGTAAAGTTAAATATTTTCGTTTCTATTCAGTGTCAATGGTTGATTATAAACTTTCTTTTCAAGTAGTAATCAACAAGCTCAGCATTATGCGACTTGAATCGATAACTCGAGAAAGCGATTACAAGAATGCTTTGTCTTTTTTCTTGAACTTGAAGATCATCAAAAGGTTTTTATGCTTTGCTACTACAAAGCCACAATTATTACATTCTTTCATCGTACTCTCTCATATAAAAGGTAAAAAGAAAGTAATTTATCTAAATATATTACCTTTCAAAAAAATCTAAATTTATCTAATTCTTGCAACATAAGAGTTCAAATAGATTTTGGATTCTTATAAATATTGCTACAACTAATATTATTTGTATTATTATCAATATTAAAAAAAATTGTAATATTTTCTATTTGCCATTTAGATAAATAAAATGTCGTTGATTATAATTTTCAATTATAATCCATACTTTTAAATTTACTAATTTTAACTTTCCATTGCTAGTATTTGACTTAGCCTAGTGTCACATCTTTTTTTTTGTTCCTTTTATTTATTGCTCTTCTTTCTTATTTCTTTCTAGTTTTTTGGTTTCATTTTTACATTTTTCCTCATCAATCAACCATTTTCATTTTGCTTTAATCTATATATTATGTTTTTCTCTTCAATCATTTCTTTTTTTTGTTTTTTCCTTTAACTGTTTCTTTGTTATTTTCTTGATTTATATATTTTTTCTAGTTATTTTTGTTTCTCTTTTTAATTTACCTGTGTGATTTGTCTTTTTATTTTTATTTCTT